CGCCTACACCACTCCCTAGACATGGGCTGAGATGAGTTATTGATTGTTGGACCAGAGGCAGAATTGGCCCCTTTGACGAGTGGTGTAAAGGAACGTATCATTATCCTTTCTGTCCGTTTTTTTTTTCTTCTTTTTTTTCTTTTAAAGAGCCGCATTGATGTACTTGTAGCTTACGGTGTACATAATTAAAACATGGTTTTAGTTGGAGGTTGGTTTGTCCTATCACTGTTTGTGTGATAAATTGTGTAACAAGCTCTTAAAGCTAGTGATCTATCTTTACTGTTTTTTATTTTAATGACAGGAAAGATCTTTTTGAACATGCAGTGATGATAAAGAGCTTTTCTAAGGTCATGGCCCACCAAGTTCTAAAAGCCTACGTGGACACATTTATGCACATAAACACAGCGTCGCCGTAAACTACCAGCTGAAACATTCAGACGTTTCCTGGTTCTCCATTCATTGATCCCCATTAATCCATTGACCGTCTGTTAAAAGTGGTCCCTCATATTGATCATCCATTAAAGATGACTTCCTAGCATGCGATTTCTCTCTAGAGTCTGTCATTGATCTCAGGTTATCCAAGCTGTAAGCTGATTACTCCATATGTTTCTGAAGCATTACCACGTTTCTCTAACATTCGTCCATGTTTGGATCAGATGGAGCCTGCGGGGTATTGACAATAAGGGTCAGGGGGACGCTGAAGATTGACTTTGTCCCAGGTCATCATCTGCTCCTTCCTCTCACCGATGCATTATTAATGTGTGGTAGACTTTATGTCTCCTCATTTTTTGCAATTAACCTCATTCTTCAGTAGTTTTTTGCTTTTTCTCGATTAATTAATGTTTTTCAAATGAGTTTAAAGGAAATATATCCTTCTGAATATTTTGCTTGTCTAAACTCTTCTGCGTCCATGGAATTTTGATCAAGCACTGCTTTGGATCTTATCTGATTCAGATGCATGTTTACATCTGTGATGTCACTTGTCTTTGGCTTTTGCAGATGTTGCGTCCTTTACTTCAAAAGGTTTCTCCCTTCCTTGTAGAAAGTGTGAGGAACTGCATTTATTTTTGTCAAAAAAAAAGTGTAATTGCTGTCACGGTCTCTGTTGCATTCATTAATTCCCTCAGGGATTCAATTAAACAGTCTGGCAGAGGCTAGGCGTCCCTCTCCCCCCTCCGTCCTCTCACCCTTCCCTGGTCGTGGAGGGTAGAACCACAGTAAATTAACAAGTTCTAGTGTAATCGTGCTATCCTAAAATCCATGGAGTGTACTTTCTCACTGAATGGTCTGACAAGTTTGAAAATTGGTTGGATTTTTTTATCCCCCATGGCCCCCACAGTGTGTGTAATTTACTCTAATTGTAGAAATAAATGAAATTGCAGACTAAAATTAGAGAGAGCACTTTTCCAAGGAAATGTTTTATATATTTCCTCTGTGTTTCATTTATAACACATCTGTCAGTGACGTACTGTATATATGTTCTTAGGGGACCTTACTCCTTAAAGTCCTGTTAATATTTCTCATTCAAGTACATCTTATAGTCTATTTTTGAGTTCATCAGACTGTCAGACCCTGGGCCAGGAGTGCTGGTAGATCATGAGCAATTAAAATTAAATATATGAATGAAAATATAAATATAATTCTATAGTGTATGGTAGTCACCATATACTGTAAAAGTTGAATCATAATGTGCCACACATACTTTTAGTTCCCACATGTACAGTAATGTATATGTAAGGGAGGCTCAGTTTATAAATGTATAGTTTTATATATACACAAAATACATTTTTATCCTATTCAGAGGAAAAATGTTGTAAAATATATAAACCAAAAATGCATTTGTTGCAATCAGAAGTTGAATGTTTACCTTTAAAATGATTTCAAAACCAATATCAGTTTGTAGTGTCACAATGACCACATTTTGTTATACACATAGAAATAATGTGCATAACTATTCCTTATTTCTTTTTGTCATAAAAAACTAACAAGTATAGATATATTTCCTGCTTAGAACCAGGGATATTCCACTGTCTGATAACCATGAGAGTCAAAACAAACAGAAGCAGCTTCTCACACAATTTGTACCACCAGTAGAACAACCTTGGTGTTCCTAAATTGTTGTCTCTGCTCTGCATCCGTTCAAACCAGTACTGTTGGCGTTCACCTTGTCCATTAAATGCGTCGACTGTTATCCAGTCAATCCCATTTCCAGCACACCAAACCAAATCAAAAAATAAAAGCTGAACCTGCAGCTCGTCTCCCCTCGGGAGGTTACCCAGTGTTTTCCTTGATCAATGTGCCAACAATCTCTCTGTTTGTGCTCCTGGTAAGAAATGTGTTTTAATCCTAATGTCAGTCCTGTTGCCCCGTCAGCACCTTCCAGGCATCTGACAGTTTGGTTAATTTCACAGTATTTCACAGCTCATTGAACACAGTGCGGCGATGGCAGGTGTATTTATTTTGCTGGCTCATCAGATGTTCATTTCCTGTAGATGACGCTCTCCCCATAAGAAAGATTAATAGATTTTGAGATTGCGTCCTTGTTGATGAAAAAAACACTTGTTCTTTTTTTGACCGTATTCTAACATTTTAGCTACAAATGAAGAAACTGAGAAATCATATATTTACAATTGAATCCCAGAGCATTTTTTTAAAGACTAAACACTGACATCATATAAATACAGGATCTGGGCTGAACCAGAACAACAGTGACACGATCAATACCACCAGGAGAAAAACAACGACCTGATGTAGGACAGGTAGACTGGACTCTGGTTATATATAGGTCTGCTCTCTCTCTGTGATTACGCTCAGTCGTCCTCACCTTTGTCATTCGTCTTCCTTATGTCCTCTCTTCCTTGCTTCTTGGCACCTGTTTGTCCTGAATTTCCTTTCGGCCTGTCCAGAGTAAAAAACGAGGGAGTGATGAGGATCAAGGGAAGGAGAAAGGGAGAGTGGAGAACGGTTGACCTGACCCATCAATATTAGGGGTGGTCTCTGAGTGGAAGGAGTGTATGTTACGCCTGGACAGTTTGCTGTAGCAAACAAGGATGAGGTCTCAGATGGAGGAACTGAATGGAGGAGAGGAGTGGTTATGGACTGATGGAGACAAAAAGACCTGTGAGCCAGTGAGAGCAAGTGAGGATCAGTTCTGATCGGTCACGTTTGAATCACTCAGGATGGCATTAATGCAGCAGCACGTGAATTATTCAACTGCCAAAGGATCCGGTGCTGGAGCCGCTGGTGCTCTGCCGTTAGGATCAATCCGCTAGTTATTTTTCCTTAATAAACTTAAACAAATCAGCATCCCAGAGGAGACACAGTGTGATGTTGTTTTGACCATCACAGTGAACAGAACAGAGATATTTGCAAAGCTGAAATGTATTTCACTGGAGACAAGCATTTGTCTAAAACAAAGATTAAGTTCCTGTCAAAAAATTGTCAAACGGTTCTCTCCAGAGTGACTGATCCATTAATTACACAAAACAGTCGTCGTGTTTGTCACTGCCAGATATTTCCAGTATCACCAACTCGGAATAAAACCCGACGTCGCTCCTTATCTTCATGATAATTGCTTGTTATTAAATGACACAAACTGACACCCTCAGCCTGAAAATGCTTTTCATCATTTCAGTTTACTTTTTAAAGCCAAATCAGATCCGATAAAACAGCAGATTGTCAGTGTGAGTGTCAGTTCTCCTCCAGATTTTCTACTGGCTGTTTAAAGACAACACATCATGCCAGGGGCATTTCATGGTGCTTTCAGGGCCTCAGGCAGAGTGGGAGGCCCCAAGCCTTACAGCAAATCAAAATGAATCACACTGATGTTTGTTAAGAAAAAAAAAAAAGTTTAGTTTTTTGTGAGATTGAGAGATCATCAGGTGTACTGTGGACAACTACATTCACTGCAGATAGATAATGTCGATAAATAAACTACAACATAGATCATTGTATTTCATTACATAGACTTGTGGTGGTGCAGCGTGGGATTGTCGATGTCATAGTATGTGTAGACCTGATGGTTTGTTATTAAGTTGATCAGCTCCTCAAGCTAGCGTGTAGCTAGCTAGTGCAAAATGACAGGTTTTTGACAAGGAATAGGCCAAAGAAAATACATTCTAAAAGGTTTTTTTTACATATTTTGTAGCATTGTCGGTGGGTTTACACAGGATCTTCAGGCTCTGGTGACCATATTCCTATTGTGCTTTGTTCATATTTAATGTTAATACACAACATTGACATCATGTTGTATTGAGGACCTGGAACTAATGATTAAGACCATAAACCGTTCAGAAGAGCTGTTGATGTTCTAAATAGATTGAGAATCAGTATCCTTTACTTCTCATCGCTGCCTCCGGCCATGCACTCACCACTTACATTACATCACTTCTTTCTTGTTGGTGCTTAAGGACAACCTGTTGAGATGCTGGTGTCTGGCATTGGCCTAGAACTTCATCTTGGATCTTCAAAAGCTGACGGACGTCACTAAACCCAAATATTTGGCTGCGGGGCGTGTTTGCTGACTGAAAAAAGGGGAAAAAATAAGTCAGGTTTTTGAGCTGCAAATTCATTGCAGAGTTCATTCTGGCATCTGTTCTCAAATCCAAAGTATTTGGAACGGGCATGTGTTTACAGCACACGGATCAGAGCAGAACATCGTAGCATGATACAGGAGGTATGCACTGAGTAATGGTAGCTACGGGGAGGCTAAATATAACCAGATGATCTGTTTTATGTTTGCTGCATTGTTGTTGTCTAAGGTAATGTGCAGCAGATAAACAGTTTTGAGATGATGCCAAATCTCAGTCCGGTGGCCCAACTCCGTGCACTTGTTTCCTTTGTTTCCCACAGGACGTTGTGGTTTAGGCACTTTAAATTCACGTTAAATTCAGGTCTGATTTTTGGCCGGCGTTCATCAGTCGTCACTGCTTCAGCCTGAGCGGTTGTGTTCGCTCTAGAAATCCAGGATGTAAATGGTCTGCATCCCTGTGCTTTTTCAGACGGATCTGATGTGGAGGAGGATGAGGAGGTGAAGGAGGAAGAGAAACTCCCATCAGAGAAGTCCAGCTCAAAGACCAAACCTGGAAAAAGGAAAAATATTACGGAGAAAGAAGCCAACGCCAAGAAGAAGAAAAAGAGCGAGCAGGTATCCTGTGAATGTCAGTGATGTGTCAGTAGTTTATATGAAATTACTGATGGAAAAAAGGAACATTCGTGGAGAACAGTTAAAAATGTGTGTATGAACGTTTGGGTGGAGCTTTTTAAAGAGAGCCAAATGAAGGGTTGTCAATGATTGTTGTTCCAATATCAACAATCAGATTCAACAATCCCTGACAGAGCTGACAACAACTTTAACTTCTGCTCTGAATAAATACTGAGAAATAGAGAATATTCAGTGGTGTGTATCCTGTAGCTCAGTATTGGATTATTCCGTTCAGTGTTCTGTGTGTTCTCTCATTCTCCCTTCACCAAATATAGGCATCAGCTGTTCAACCAGTGTCTCCCAAGGCGGAGGGTAGCCTCTGTGAGGGTCATGGTGCTGTTGCGGTCGAGGCGTGCAATATTTAAGACACAGTGGCATAAATTCATCATTTTATGTATTCTTCTCAGTGACTTGTGGACGTGTGGAAGTGAATGTTTCAGTTTAATGGAGTTTTAAAGCCATAGATGTAAATGTGGCAGTGTGTGTGTGTGTGGGGGGGGGTCGACCATCGCTACAAAAATGGGAGCTACTCTCCTCAGTAGACCTCAGTAGATTTTTTTTAATACCTGAAGGAGAAACATCCACGTCTGTTCCTGCAGATCTACAGTGACTAGTTTTTTAAGCCACTTAAAATGGACGACGTCATTCATTTATATCTAGACTGTTTAGATTCTAAACTGAGTTGATTTATGTCAAATATGCTGTACAGTAATAACAATAATGATGGTAATGATAATAATTCAGTTCTAGTCATGGTTTTCTATGGTCAGGTCTGGATTGTGCTTTTGGTCCATGGCTGTTTGTAAAGTCCTTGCTCTGTTAGGAAGGAATTAGGAAATCATTTGAAGACGGTACAATTCCTGTAGGGTCAATATTTGTGTCCCATTGTATTTGTTGTTGTCACTGTCATTTTGTTTGTCAGCTGGGTCATCCTGAGGATGTTCAACAGAAAGAGACTGAGGATGAAAAGCCATCTAAACCCAAAAGAAAGCGAAAGGTGAGTTTGGCGCCACCTGCTGTTGCTGCAGTGCTAAAATTGTTGCTTTCATTGAGGCTCAGCTGCTCGTTTATTTTCACTTTACTGATGAACATGGTAACGCCGTCCTGTTGTGTTTATCCCAGAAGAAGAAGAAGACGATCACTGATGTCCTGGCCTCCTCTGAGCCTAAACCAGGTCGACCTGCTGACCTTCAGAACCTGCTCACTCAGTTCTTCTCAGACAAACGCTCTGTGATCGAGCAGGAGGAGCTGAAGCTGGAGGGTGAGTCAGGGTCTTGACCCCGTTTTTTTTTTCCTTTGTGAAGTTGCCGTGTACTGCTGTGTTGATTCACCAAGGTCGTCCTTGGTCTCCTCTCCTCCTGCATCCTTCAGACTCCTGTTTCCTCTCCTGCAACGACCTGACTCACAGCCTCTCCTCTTATCTGAAACACAGTGAGTCACTCCTCCAAACCTTCAACACCGGCATCTATTTTTTATCATTTATTTTTTCTTCCCTGCACAATTTTTTTTCTCTTTTTTTTTCCTTCTGCTCCATCAGTTTGTCCCAAATGGGCAAAAATCCGAAAGCAGCACACAGACAGGAGTTCAGTCATCGTGCTCATCGTCTGCAGTTCTGCTCTCCGAGCGATTGAGCTCATCAAGTATGTGACGGCACGCCAGATCTTTAACATCACAATCGAATCTTTGTTTCATTAGTATTTGTTTTTTTTATCCACAGACAGATGACGACGTTCAAAGGTGACGCCAGAGCAGTCAAGCTGTTTGCAAAACACATTAAGGTACAAACACAACCAACAATGACAGTCCTGACATACACTGAAGGTTGGTTCACTGATTATGTCTGTGTGTGTGAATTGTACAGATAGAGGAACAGGTGACGCTGTTGCAGAACAACGTCACTCACATCGGAGTAGGAACTCCAGGCAGGATCAGTGCACTGATAGAGAAAGGTCGGAGATTATTCCGTAATCTGGCAGATTATCCTCTAAATGAGTGACTGTTTCACACTGTTCGGGTTGGTTGGTGTTTTTTTCCAGAGGGTTTAACGTTGGGCTCATTAAAATACATCGTTCTGGACTGGAACTGGAGGGACCAGAAGCTCAGGAGGATGGTGGACATTCCTGAGGTGAGATACTGCCCCCTGCTGTACGACAGGGGTCATTGTTTTGATTAGTAATACTGATAGGCTGTTTGTTTGTTTTTTAGTTTGTTTTGATTAGTAACAACATCTGGACTGAATTGTAGAAGCTGATACTGATAGGCTGTTTGTTTGTTTTTTTATTTTAGGAGTTATTTTCCTAATTGTATACACGTACATTTGAACATGCACTTTACACTGCTTTTAAGTATTGTGTTGCAGTTTGACCCATGTATCTGAGTACAAGTATTTGAATGGACCAAAAGTGGGTGTTTTTTTGTGGTATTTTTATGGGTGACATTTACCAGTAAAATATCTTACAGTTAAACATGTCATTATGACGGTGATGATGATTTACTTTTTACTTGTTCACTTTTTTCATTCCGTACGTTTGATGTCCGTCTCAGATCAAACTGGACCTGATGAAGCTGCTGGACGCTGGTCTCCTGCAAGGCTGCAGAGGAGGCCAAGTTAAAATTGGACTTTTTTAACTGAAGTAATGTCCACATGAACATGTATCTTTTTTTTTTTTTTTAAATAATATAGTCCCCAGAGGATTTTTTTTTTTTTTTTAAATAATATAGTCCCCAGAGGATTTTTTTTTTTTTTTTAAATAATATAGTCCCCAGAGGATTTTTTTTTTTTTTTTAAATAATATAGTCCCCAGAGGATTTTTTTTTTTTTTTTTAAATAATATAGTCCCCAGAGGATTTTTTTTTTTTTTAACCATTTTCAAAGGCCACCTCTGTCTGATCTGTGAAGCCGTTCGACTCATTGTCCTGGAGCGAGGGCTTGAATAAACAAGTGCTAAAAAGGAACCAACTTCCTCCTGTTTGTTGACTCTGATCTGAGGAAGTCCTTCCCACTGACGCTGTCACATCACAGGCCGTGCTAATATACTTTTTATAACACAGCGGGGAGTCCAGGATGGACTCTGCTGTCTACTGTAAAATTAAAAATTAAATATATATATAACACTAGTTTTACTACAGACCTAAAGGAATAATAAACCTGCATGTTGCCTCATAGGAAGCAGGAAGTAGATGACAACAGGTCAGCTTTGTAAATAAAAGATCTGTTGCCTAATGACTGTGGTTAATAAGTAACAGGCCACAGTAATCTCACCCCGCAAGACCTGCTGGGAAAATCTCCTGTCAGACTGAGTTGTGTGGGTGTGTGTGCAGAGGGCGCTTTGGCAGTAATATTAGAGAAAACAAAACAGGAAGAGGAGACACTGCTAACGTCTGACTGTGAAGTAAGTTCCTCGGTTCTTTTCTGTCATGGTCAAAGCGAAGGCCAAACCTGGGCCTCTGGCTCGGAGGCCGGACAACTCGGCTTTCAAACAGCAGCGGCTCCCGGCCTGGTCGCCCATGCTGACCGCCCACACTGTGCTGCCCTTCTTCTACATCCTGGCTCTGATCTGTTTGCTGCTGGGAGTGTGGCTGCTGCTCACGGTGCAGAGCACACAGGAAATGAAGGTGAGTGTGAAAAGAGCAGCTCGTGAGCCGTCTTTCTTTGTGGCCACGACGAGAGACGGAGCACCAGTTCAAATGTTCATACTGAGCAATAAAAACAGGGAGCGTCACAGAGGAAAGGTCTGCTGTTAGTGTTTGCAATGAGCAGGTGCGTTCAAAGTACGGCTGGGGGACCGCTTATGGTACCTGTCAACAGTTAGGTCAGTTTGTTTCCTCTTTTTTAAGCTGACTTTTATATTAGAAAATACATCTGTGTGTGTACATGTGTATACTGTGAATATATGCTGTATATATGTTAATATACAGTTTTTATTTATGTATGTACAAATACATGTATACATTGTGTCTATGCGCATATACACATATATGAAACACTTTCTACTATACACTTGAAGTCATTACTAAACTGCGTGTATTCGTGGGCTAACTTTAATGATAACAACTGTTCATTTGTGTTTGTTTTTATTCTTGTTTTTTAGCTGTTCTACACGGAGGCGAAAACTTGTGCTGAATGTTTTGAAAAGCGTGAAAATGTGTCGTTGGCTGCGGAGGAGTGTCGCTGCACTGTGACGTTCCTCATTGAGAAAGCGTTCAAGGTGACTGTCGTCATCAGGTCTCTGGTGTCTCACTCTACTGTTCAAATGCTCTACAAAGCCAGTGATGCCTTAACAGTTCTAGGAGGAAAGTAGATTGCGCAGTTGGTCTTAATGCAAAGGAGATGCACTTGCACCCTAAGCCACTTGGTGGCAGTCTCGTTCGGTTAAAGAGAGCAGAGGGGCTAATTGGAATATTTTTGGGGAAGTAAAGTTGGTAATGTGTTGATTAAATGTTCAGTTTCCTAAGAGTTTGAAGAACTAACTTTTCTTAGGGATAAAAACTCTGAAAATAATCCTGACAGGTAGAAAGTTTTTTTTTTCTTTTTTTTTTTTTGTCTTTTAGGCCAGACTTGTTATGACAGTGCAGACACTAGCCTTTCCGTCTTTTGTCTTCATCATCTTTTATCCCTCTGTTTTTCCAGGGAGATGTATTTTTTTACTATGGCCTTAAAAACTTCCACCAGAACCTCAGGAGGTACATGGACTCCAGAGATGATGGACAGATGGTCGGCAGGAAGTCGAATCTGAAGGTATGTCCACAGTTCTGGACAGCTTTGGTGTTGTACTGTTTGCACTGATGTGTATTGAAAAATGTAATTTACGATTATTCTCTTAAACTATGAACTCATAATTTTATGACTTTTTACTACTTTAGTAATTTTGGATTTTTTTATATCCTCGGTGTGGCCTAAATGGTTAGGAAGTGTTCTGTAAAAACAGAATATGTAAAAAATGACGACATTTGAAGTTTTCTTCCAACCACTGCTTTCACAAACGTCATTCCTCCTCTAGAATCCTAGTCTCTACTGCTCTCCATTCAGTCAAGACCAGAATGGACTTCCTGTTGCTCCCTGTGGTGCCGTGGCCAACAGTATATTCAATGGTGAATGTTCATCAATGATCAAATCCCACTTCCACCGTTTCTCTAAATGGACCAAATGTTTACTCACATGTGTGATTCCAGATTCATTCACCTTCACCTACCACAAATCTGCCAGCCAGAATATCCCGGTCCCACTGCTGCGTAATGGCATCACCTGGTACACTGACAAAAACATCAAGTTCCGCAACCCCAGAATGGGAAACTTGACGCTCGATCAAGTCTTTGAAGGTAAAATGGAAAGAGGAAAAAAATATTTGAGTTTTTGATTACATTTCTCATTCTTTCTGTTGTTGGGTTGCTGATTTTTCAGGTACTACGCATCCACCGTACTGGCAGAAACCAGTGAATGAGCTGGATCCAGATGATCCAACCAACAATGGATTCATCAACGATGATCTAATTGTGTGGATGAGAGAAGCAGCCTTCCCCAACTTTAAGAAGCTCTACGGTGTTTTATGTCGAGACAACAAACCTTTTACCAAAGGGCTTCCTGCAGGAAACTACAGCATCGAGATTACCTACAGTATCTTTACTCTGTTCATTTACCAAATATTTACTGTTGTCTCCTTGAATTACAAATGCTTGAGAATTTAATATACCGGTAGGCTTTAAAAATGGGAACTGTGGCTCTTCAGAATAAGCAAATAAATACAAAAATAATATAAGGTTAAGTTAAGGTTGGTGTGTGTGTGTGTGTGTGTGTGTGTGTGTGTGTGTGTCTGTCCCCAATTTCCTTTCAAATTCTCTTGGCCTTCACCTATTTTTAGCCTTGACATCATCTTCTTCCAGACTTCCCAGCGCAGCGTTTCCAGGGCAGGAAGCAGGTAGTGCTGACCACGCTGACCTGGTTTGGAGGTCAGAACCATTTCCTGCCCATTGCCTACTTAGTGACCAGTGGTCTGGTCCTGCTGACAGCAGTGGTTCTCACGGTGGTGTGGTTCAAGTTTGGAAAGGGTGGACAGAACATGGTGGAGTGAAGGGGGAAGAGGGAGAGGTTTTTAAAGCAGCTGGAAATAGATGGTTGTTGGTTCCATACCTGCAGTGCACTGAGTTAAATCAGCAGACTTTGTTTTTGGACTCCGTTCTCGTTAGAACAGATGTGACTTGTGTTGGTTTGAATATATCTGTATTTTTTTGACAGTTTGTGGAGTTTTTTGTTTTTGTTATTTTAATGTGTGCAGTTAATATTTATAAAGCCTCAAACTGCTGTAATGTTGGAGTCGATGTACAGAAAATCAATGTTATGAAAGGTACAGTGAGAGTCACAGGAAGGATTTTTAGCCAAACCCATCATAAAAAGTCTGAAAATAAAAACAAAGAGAGAGGAATCTAAAGAAGGAGATTCCTTCATTCTATATAAGGCAAATAAAAAGATATAATAGAAATAACTTGAAAAAAATTTAAATGTTAAAATAATAATAATCTTTAAAATAATAAATATTAAATATATATACATATACATATATAGAAAATAATGTACATACATATTTATGCATGTATACATATATTTATATATGCATTCATATATTGTGTATGTATATATATTTATGTATGTTGTAAAATAAAATTAAGATCCTTACAAATATGTATATATACACCCATATGTATATATTTGTAATATATATTGAATATATGTATATATGTGTGTATATATATATTTATATACACATATGTATATATATGTACGTATGTATGTTATCTTCTGGACAACTAACAAAATTGGACATTTTGGTAAAACCTTTTAATAGCTCTTTATTTATTTTTTTTTATATACAATCAGTGAGAGCCACATAAACACAACCCCCTGCTGTGACCAGAGATACACAGCTGTGAGTGTTGATCACCATCGGTGTTGAGTGTTTCATAGCACAAAGGGTGTGTGTGTGTGAGTGAACAGTTCCGTAAAGTTCTAAAAGCAGCTTGTTCAGATTTTATTTTCTCTCTTAATCTACACATTGCTGCCACTCTGTGATTGGTCAGCCCAGAACCACAAGTGGACAGGAGAGGAATGCAGTCTATTGGTGCTTAACACACACACACACAACAGAACACAACTATAAGCTACATTGTTGTCATATCGTTGTCATCATCATCTTCATCATCATCGTTCTCATTATCATCACACTGGGTCATTATCAGGAAAACACACACAGCTGGGGAAGGGGAACAACTTCACACACATACAGACGTCAATGTACATAATTAATGGGGTGGGGGTGGGGGTGGGGGGGTGTGTCCACCAGACTAATCATGATGCACTAACACAAAAACACACACAGGAAACCACAATAAAAACAATAAGATTCCCTCACCTATTGTCATGTGCAAAAGTCTTAGGCATTAGTCCATGTTGTCTTAGCATTGATACTGTGACAATATAGAATATTTGTAACTTGGAAAATGGCATTTTACTTCTAAATATAGAAAGTAAAATGTTGGAAGAGGCCGGACGATTCTTGCTCAGTTCCAGTTTACAGCCCTGTGAGTTCTTTGACACTTTGTACTGGTGTTAGCTGTGAACGCCCCATGACCCTTCTAATAACAGGACTACTGAAACAGGTGAAAAGGGCTCATGTTGCATTAAAAGGTTTAAGGTTACAAACCTAACATCTGATTGGACAAAATAAAAGCCAAATGCAAAGTAATGCGACCATTTCTGCGTTGTTGCTTCAGCGGGACACACATGCTTAACAGGAGAAATTGAATGGTGGATGACGGTGTAAAATGTTAAAAACAAAAACACCCAGAGCTGAGCATAGGACAGAATTGTCATGTATGAAATAAAAAAATTAAAATTGATGTTGAAAAAACCCAGCAGTGACCTGAGACTTTTGCACAGTCACTTCTTCTCTCTGTTCCACCACTCATTAAGACTGCTCTAGTGTTTGGCATCTTTGTATTGTGAGTCAATACAGCATCAACACAGCAAAGTGAAAACATTTGGTCTCCAGCACTGTAGAATATGTCTCTTTGTTGTAGTGTGTGTGTATATATATATATATATATATATATATATACGTGGAGGGAAACTGACTCATGGTCTGTGGTCTGTTTTTTGTTGTTGTTGCTTCAGTACTAAGCGAGTGTAGCATTGGGGTTTTTTATTTGTTTGATAAACGTCTCTCCTCATCAGCAGGATGTCAAAATAACAAAATAAATATCAGTAAATCACTTTAGGCTTTTGCAAGAATGGAATTATTGTAACTATTCACAAATTCAAGTCATGCTTTAAAAAACAAAACAAAAGTAAGACAAAGAACGTACCGTGAGTTTCTCCAAGGAGGATTGTTTTAACCTTTAACCTTTGGGGTTAACATGCAGTTGATTTAAAACTAAAGAAAAACCTGGCTTGATGTCTAACAGAAAAAGAAAAAAAAAAAGAATAGCGACAAAAAAATCATCACAGTTTCACAGGATAGAACAACTACAGAATCACAGAACAGGGACAAGACACAGTCTTTATCAAATAGTAGTCAGCTTTCTGCTTCTCTCCAACCAATCGTAGACCCTGTATAAGAAATGGACCAGGCTGTTTGGTTGCAAAAGTAAAGCTTGTGGAAATTGACGGCTCATTGCTTAATTGAATGAAGCTACTTCTAGCTGCAGGTATACCAATTCTAATTGAGACATTGTGGTGTCTTGTTAACATGTAATTGATGTTGCGCTGCACTTGTATCAACATTCTGAAGACAGTTAAAAACAAAGAAAAGTCTAAGAATCAGCTGCCGTGCTTTTACATGGCAACAGTCCTGTTTGTTTACCTTTGACCAAATTCCTCTTATTTTCCCTTCATTGTGAGACGTTGTTTTACCCCGATGCTGTTTTAAAAATGATATATATATATATACACACATGTCGTGGAGCATATTGGTTACTTACAGTCACATTATTACTGTGCCAGGTATTTACAGACTGTTAAAAAGAATGTTGTCATGAACAATCTAACATTCTACCAATAAGCCTAACCATTATTTTACATTTATGATCAGCCTTATGTAGGAAACAGCAACAGAAAGTTGTTGTTAGTTGTCCCGACATCTGTGGACTGCTATCTGCTTGTGACTTTACTTTTGAACACAGCTGCCTTGCTCCATTTCCTATGTACGGTCTATACTCTTGACTCCCTCTTCTGGCACAAACACATATACACATTCATCTTTATAGATTCAGTGATAGGACTGTAAAGGCGCCACACAAGCAGGTCAGGGCCATGCAGAGACGGTTAGGGCGATACATCTCCAGATGATTCTAAAACTAAGGTAGTGTTCATTGAGGACTTCTTCGTCCTTCAACAACCGCCCGTCCCCGTCTCTGTCTTGTGGGCTGTGACGGGCGAATAAAAGGCTGTGTGCGTCCCAACTCTTCAGCCCTGTTCCGTTGTCTTCTGTGTGCAACTCTGAGGCACCTGATAGGTCAGATCCTCAGACGCCTGACCAGTGGTGTTCTTTGGTGTATCGTACGCCGACCTCCCTTTCTGGCTGCCTTCTGTCCGTGTGAGCAGGGCATTGAGACCTGCGCCCATTAAACCACACACAGCAGCGGGCTGGTTCAAAGTGGCGCCCCCTACAGGGTGGCAGCCCATATCTACTATAATTGGAGTGGCGTATTCAGATCTCGAGGCCGGGAGAGGCTCTGCGTAGGCGTGGTAGACATCTGGTGAGATCGGGGCATCGTAAAGATCCGGATCCGAGTATCCTGGGTCTGGACCTTCATCGGGTTTAAAAGTTGAACGCGCACCCAGTGTTGTAACTCCGCTGACCAGAGGCTGAGCATATTCTGAGGAGACAACATGGCGGAGTCTGTTAATAATGGGATGTTTTCGGTCTGAGAAACCGGAGTGTTTGGTGGGAAATCCAAAGATTCATCTTTGAATCATCCGTCTCCAGCAGACTCTCTGGTGTTTACCTCACAGAACAACCATCTTAAACAAGAACAGTTGTAAAACATCCCTATTTCCACACAGCTCTGTAAACCAGTTGACATAATGTTCCTACAAAGTCTGATTTAGTGCAGACGAGGTTTCACAACTTTTTCAGTAAGACAGTGTTTTTTCTCTATTATAGGAATGTTGTTAATTTAAAACAAAATGATGAAAGGTTAGTTAGCCTTGGAGCTCAGAAAAATAAACTTTTTTAGTTTATTTTTCTGAGGGTTTTTAAGACATTCATCTATAAAGTGACTTCAGAAACTGATAACTGCAACATGCTCACTCTTTTAACCTTTTGGGAATCCAGGATAATAATTCTTGTGCAGTTGTGAACTTTGAACTTTTCACCCACATTTGGTGCATTTAAGAGCCGAGCTGCTCAGCAGTCTTTGGTTTAACACTGTCTGAGGCCACACCTCTGTGGTGTGTGCAGAATGAAGTCTGACACCGTCCTGCTGGAGGACATGGTCAATGTGTTTTGTCCCTTATCTCTGTTAACTAGTTTTGGAGTGAATTGCCCAACTAGTTGCTCCTATAACTTTATCACCTTTTCTTGGCTTGGCTGAGAAACTGACTTCACCTCCATCTCCAAAGGTCTGGCTCATTCTAAACCTCATTTCTTAGAGACAGCCCTCGAACACCGTGCGTACCTGCAGGTTCAGCGTGTAGTCTCGGTACGGCGCCTCTTCCTGAGAGCCGGCCCACTTCACTGCTGCTGTACCGGATGGAATCCTCCGACTCCTGGATCTTGGAGGGAAGCAGCTGCTTCATGCTCTTCCACCAATCTGCAGCAGGAACACAGAGGAAATGCACAGCTGCGTTACCAGACAAATACACTGCAGGTAGCCCATAATGCAGCGTGATGAGGAGTGGCGCATACCTGTGCGATCCCAGTGAGGAAGATCGTACGCTCCTTCAGAGCTCTTCTTCCTGTGGTGCAGGGAATTCAGAGGCAAAAACTGCAGTTTCTTGGAGGAATTTTTAGAAGTCATTATGATGGGAATCAGAAATACCTGTTCTTCCAGTGACAAGCCCCAACTATAGTCAGGATGAGAGCAGTCAGAGCCATGACCAACACAGGAACCAGAACTGCTGCCAGAGCAATGTCTAAACACAGAGATAATCAGTACCAGGCGATAAATGTGTGAGTTCAGTCGTCTGATCGACGAGTGACGAACCTTTGTTGGTGTGAGGAGGCATCGTGGTGTTTCTAATGTCTGGCGTGTGAGTGGTTTGGACCGAGTGGGGTGGACGCTTTGAGCTAACAGGAGGCGACCCCCTCCTCACTGTACACAGACAAAAGGAGAAACATCTGAGCGTCTCGCTGCACAGAAACACATTTTTATCAACAGGCTGTATCTAAGAAGTGGACAAAACCATCAGTGCTGTGCTGGTGTGAGCTGGATGTTAAAAATGTATAAGGCAATCATCAAGTGATGTCCACTCACATACAGGATCTCCTGTCCTGCTTTATCTTTTATTTTCCACTAAATAGGTCATAATTAAAAAATATATATATATATACACACATGTCGTACTTCAAAGACAGGAAAATTGTTCATAATTCAATTTGATATTTAACATTTTGGAAACATTAACTGATATTAGTATATTGTTAAAAACAAACCACCAACTTTCTAAAAAAATAATTGAATATAACTGCTCCTCTGACTGACCGTGCTCACTTTCTGCCCCTATATATTCCCATATACTGAATATATTCACATACACTTTACCAAAACATTCAACTTTGCACATGTAGAAAAATTAATTTAGTCATATAATCTTTGTGTCATTTTATATTTTCTAGTATAACATCATCAACTTTGGTGAAGCTGAAACCTCAACATAAACAGTTCAAACCAGCACAACTGTCGACTTGTCCGTTTCTCACGTAGTGTCTATGAAGGCACAGCCTCCGTGTACCTTCAGGGATCTGGCAGCCGAGCAGCTCCACCTTTAGAGCTATTCTCTGATGCCAGGCGGTCGGGTTGATCCTCAAGAACCGAGCCTCGATGGGAGGAATGAAGTTGTTCCTCACCTCGTGCAGGTAGTTATTGTTCCCTTGGAAAACCTGTCATAAAATGAAAACCAAACCATCCTTTTTAAAGCGCAGATGAAAACCCGACTCCTCGGTGCAGCAGTAGTTTGGCGGATAAAGGAGTTTATGGGAGCAGTTCATGTTTCAGTGTTTCAGGCCGTGAACAAAATGCACTTTAAGCCTTAAGCTGATTATTTTTCAACTTGGCAGCCTCATAACTACTTTTCTGGACGCAGTAAGAGCCTGTTGGGAATCACAGCGGAGAGCAGCTCTGTTGACAGCAGTTCCAGTCTAACAACCCGGCCACTAAATCCATATCCTTTCATTATTAATGCCCCGGTGCCTTGACTTGTCTACTACAGCACTTAACTCAAACCACCGACTGTTCTCGTTTCCTGCCGCAGATGTGGCCGAGTCAATACCAGTTGCTAGGGAAACGAACAAAGTGAAAGGGTCTAAGGTGACATATTTGGCCATTTGCACAATTTACAGGAAGGAGAAAAAAAAGGCCTAAAAGCCAATGATGTAACTGTGAGTAAACACTCCTCATTGATTTTGTGATTGTGTTACCTTGTCTAGTGTAGAATTGGCTTCCCTGTAGATGAACCACTGTGGGGGGGCTTTACTGTACAGGACCCTGTACGCAGACACGTAGTACTGATACTCTCTCAGAGTAGAGCCTGTGGTGATGATGCCTGGACAGAGAGAGGAGCAATGAACCAATGAGGAGCAGCTGATGCTGACAAAGACTTTACAGCCAAAGATTTTTTTTATTTGATACAAAATTAGTTAAATTTAGTTCCCTATATTTCTGATAATAAACATTAGCAGAGTAGCAAGCCCTTGTTGTTTTTGCTTAAGATGAGGAATTACATAAAACCCTTCAAAACAAAGTACTTTATAGTAGTACCCTTCATTGTATTTTAGACTTCTTTCATCCTCTTATTTATGAATGGCTCTCTACGAAGTCTTCATTTGATGACTTGATGACTCGTTATGCTTCTCCCAGCTTCTTTACACCATGTAAACCATTAACTTAAATCCAAACTGATTTGAAGCAGAGTTATTTTTGAGAACACGCCTGTAATTTGAATACTTTTATATCGTTGTATTTGCTGCTGCCCAGCTTGGCCACGTCTCCCTTGAAAATCTAACAAGTGTTCCCATTTATTGTGGGTCTGGGAGATGAAGAAAACCGTTCATAAGTGACAAAAATTCAAGACCTTGAGCTGCGACCAACAGAACTTGTACCTGTGATCCTCTTCTCCCTCTTCAGATCCACCTGCAGCCACTGCTGCTGGTCACTCTGGGCCGGTGCCCAGGACAACCCCGCCTTTTTGAGGCGGGCTCCTGAAGCCAACCACTCACGCTGACCAGCGTAGTTCCACTCCCACACGGAGGAGGCAGAGATCTGAGTGTCTGGAACGCCTTTTGACTCCAAGCCCATGGTCCCGTAGCAGCCTTACAGAGATAGAGACCATTATCAGCATCAACAACAGTATAAAATGTCCCAGGAATTGAATCAGATGCAGAGACTAATAGCTTTTGTAAAGGATGTGAAGCTGCTGCCTGTGGGCCACATATAAGAATATCAAAGTATATTTAGAGCAGTGATTCTCAACCACTGTGCTGCTTGAGTTCATCAGACACTTTTTATCCAGTTTGACTTAAACGGCCTGGAAACTACTCTCGTGTACTGCTCATAAATTGTCAATGAGACGTAGCACAGATAAATACTAGGTGGAAGCAGAGGTTATAAAAACAAAAAGGGAAGATCTTCATGCATGTCTTTCCTCAACTCCTGCATGTTCAACTAAACAGGCCCAGGTTTTACATTGGTTAAGCAAATTAAGAGTAATTTAAAATCTAAAAAAAACATTTTTAAACATACCTTTAACATTTTTGTTTGATGATGTGCCATGTTTTATTTTCTGATACTGAGTATAAAAATACTCACCATTTGTCTTGAACGTGAAGAGGCTGTTGGACATGGTTCCTCTGAGGAGTGGGGACACAGATTGGAAGGTCAGACTTGGAAAAACACTTTTGTGTAATTAAAACATTTTTCTCTACTACACTGACAATTATGAGGGGCCTGACCGGGAATGAGGTGGGATTTCTGAACCTTACCCAGTGGAAGTGACATTGTTCGCCAGTGTGCCCTCGTAACGATTGATGCCTTTGCTGCTGACAACACTGATCCTGCCTCCCACAGCGTTGGACACCACACCTGCGTGGATGGCAGCCAAACACAGCGGAGAGGACTGTGAAACAAAAATGAAAAGACAAAAGATTAAACCGAGCTCAAACTGAGACAGTTTTTCTCTCTGCATCTTCCACCGGCCTGTGAAGACGGAGCTGACGAAACGACGGGAAACAACAACAACATTTTGTCTCACCAACATCGAATCGAACGTCCTGCAGTCACTCAGGGAAGAAATTACAGAGTGGTTTCTGACTATTGATCTGCCTCAAATCAGACATGCTGTAACTGCTCCGACTCAATTAGTGCAGGGAATGTAATGTCTATCCATAACTGTACACACCCTGCTGAAAATCCATATCTATTTGTGTGCACTAACATTATGATCCTGCAGCAGCAGACGGGCTGTGGTTTTACTGCGAGCCATCATTTTTTTATTCTCTTCAGTGCACGTTGCAAATGATTAACATCTTAAATGATTGCAAACATGTTAATACAGGTGGCTTTGTGTACTTAAGTCATTTCTACTGTGTTTTCACGGGTGATGTTCAGTGGTCATCTGCACAGCAGTTACAATAGACAATGTTGGTACTGTAGATATACATCAAATCCTTCAGGCTGAAGATCACTGCAGAGCAAACACGAAAACATATTGGGAATAACTGGTTAAACTGAACCTAGGGCCTGTTTCACTTCAGCTGTAATTGGTAATTCACAGTGATGTTGCATCCTTTATTACAATGGGACATTTTGCAGTCGCTATGCCAAGAAAAAAACAAGCATAAATGTTATTTAACATTTTTAAGTTTGATATTCAGCCACTGTGGCTGTCTACAAACAATGCATGCGAGGATCACGGTTTCTCTGTGGTGAGGTAATGTGTAACTGCACAACAAGTGATACTTTCGGGGAAAAATATGGGAAACGCTGCATTCCCTTTAATGGGTTGACCTGGTGATTGGTACTTAAACATCCAGGTGGGATGGATTTCAGGGGCTACGTTTGAACACTAACTTAGTCAGAACAACCAGCTTCAAGCATGTGAGCGCTGCAACAACAGGATCTCCAAAAAGAGCGAATGGGAAGATATCGCATTATCAGCACTTAACCTTCAGTCTGAGGGAGGATTAATGCAGATGAGTCAGCATGAAGTCACTTCTCTGCAGCCAGATTAACCCAGCAGCAATGGCAATGATTCACCGTCGACTGCATTCCTGTCCAAACCTGCTGCCACATCACTGGGAACAGGACGAAAAACCTGAATCCTCTCTGACCACGAGCTCTTTCCCACCAACAGCTGCTCGAGCGAGCTGGAATTTTATTACTGGAAAAGGCCCTCACTGGAATTCACAGCCGACAGGATCGGAGGGAAAACTCCAGCGGCCCAGGGAGCAACAGTCGCACACACATGTACACACACACACAAATGCACAGCTGTCAAAGGGCTGCCACAGGCAATCAACACTTGCTCTGTGACTCTTTAACTTCCCCAAAAAACACATACACACACACCACATCCTAAAGCGAGTCATACCAAACCACCAACACAAACACAAAACGCTGCTCCAAAACCGCCGCGCCCTGCCTCCAACTGAGAAAACCACACTGACACACACTGGGGACGCAAGATAAGTTGGACATGAAAAATAGGAAAACAGCATATGGATCATTGTAACAGATAATGGAGAAGTGAAGAGGGAGGAAAGAACAGAGTGGGACAGGGTGGGGCGGCAGATCCCAGAATTAAGTATGCATGATACTGCACAGGCTTGTACTGCAACCTGTATCCAATGAAAATGAGATTTTTGCTCTTCTTTTTTTTAAACACAAAAGCATGCACAAAATAGACAGAAATGTTTGCATAAAGAGTTGGTCCACCTTGTAAATCACACCCACACTTAGTTTTCTCTCTCTCACACACACACTATCCAACGTTCAGCTCTGCACCCTCTTACAGCTGGAGTGTATTACAGGACTTATTATTTCGTCCAAACTATTATCTCACCTCCTCCTCACCCGCTGACCCTGCCCCTCCTCTGTTCCTGTGAGGGTGCCTCACTCCCTGAAGCACACCCCGAAACTCCTCCCTGCCCTCCCTTCAACCAGCAATGATCCTCCTCACCTCCCTCCCTCCCTCCCTCCATCTGTCCTTCTGTGAGATGACAAAAAGAACCTCGAGCTCTGAACATGAGGTCATCAAGTGGAGACTTTGCACAAATGACCTCACGCTCAGCGGGGGTGTTGTGAGGTCATCAGATCAGGACCAGCATTCCACAGAGCGGGGGCCGAGTTTGCACAAGAAATTAAAGGAGGCCCTGAACTGAATCAAACTGAAAGTTCGTTATCAAAGACACGTGAGGCAAAAATAATCAAAGCTGAATGTGAGTCACTGATCAGTTGTGATGAGTCGGTGTGTGGGTTAAACTGAGGGGCTCCGACCAAACAGCAGGAGAACAATGGGTACCATGACTCACTGGGAAACCAGGGATGCCAGACGCAGACCGCAGGAAAGGACTAGTTCCCTTCACAAACCAGAGGACGACATGGAGATCTAGGTGATGGTGTTTCTGGCTACACAGTCTCTCAGACAGCAGACAGAGGAGACACTGACATATTTTGGTTTATTTTCTACATACAGCGGTCCCTCGTCTATCGCGAGGGTTATGTTCCTGGATCGCCTGCGAAAACCCCGAAGTACAGACGCGATACAAGAATACTTTTAAAATATAAAAAAACTGTGATGCACTAAGGACATGACTGCCGAGCCGCGATACAGTGAGGGACAACTGTATATATATGTGTATATATATATATGCACATATATATATATATATAGACAATCAGCTGTGAAAGTCAGTCACATGGGCAGAAAATAATTGAAAGACAACACAGACTAGAATCTCAAACCTAAGGTGTTTGTTGTTGCAGATATTAATGTTAATTAATGAATGTTAACTCCTTGTTTGCTAACTGTGTGATCTAATTAGGATTTCATTGTTGGAATTTTTAAGAGGATAATTTTATTTTAATTCTTGCGGATGAAATCATCTTAATTTGCTGACCAAACTGAAGCTAGGCTACATCCTAAAAACTGTAACAGATAAAACCTCAGACAGTAGAACTGTTCTCACCTCTCTGTATCCATTTGGTATGGTTCCAGAAATCTCCTTGCCGGATGTCAGGCAGCCTGCTGGGCAGTATTTACTACAAAAAAAGAAGAATGGCAAATAAAAACCACAAAGACACCACGAGCACCCGACAACCAGAGCGATGGAAAATATCTGCAGGAAAACAGACGGCCTTTACCTGAACTCTGCCTCGGGGAAATCAGTTCCTTTGTCCAGACAGGTGATTAGATCTGAAATGGCAAACAAGCAACATCTGAAGTGTCTTTTTTTCTGCACACCACACATCACCCAGGCTTTTATTTCCTGTTGGCCCTCTGCTATGATTACACATGTCAGAAACCAGTGGAAACTGTCCAGACAGTGCAGCTTTTAAAGACCATTGGTGAATATTAGAGACTGGAAGCAAAATCAGTGAATGTTGATAGTGACTGTTTGGAAAAGAACTCAGAGATTAGACATGAGAAACTTTCAACAATTAATTTTTTTAAAAAACATGGCCTCAGCACTTTTTTAACCTTGAGAATAACTGTTCAATCATCATTTCTATGGCCTAGTGTCTTACTTTGAAGATAAAGTGATAACACTAGGACACTAAAAATTAATGTCTAGATGATTTTTTGTGTGATTTGTTCTATTCTGGCATCACTGTCCAAACTGAGTGAAACACCAGTTCACCTTAGTTACCACCAGGACGGCAACTCTTATAAGTTTGAAGAGGTGAAATGTGTTTCTGTGGTTCTTCCAACTAGCCACATGCTAGTGGGCCAGAGGATGTGAGTAAAATAGCCTCTCTGTAATGAGTCAGATCATGTCCAAATCCAGGCTTTACTTTGATTTTCAGATGGACGTCTATTTTGAGTTTTTATACGAAGTCTGTCCTCAACATGACAGGGACAACAAGACCTTAGTGGTGGAATGTCTCGCTTTCCATTTAGACACACATGTTAACAAATTAGAGCAGCTACACTGCCTGCGTGAGAACGCAGGTCTGAAGTATGAAGACAGTGTTGACCTATTTTCTGCATTTATCACATAATCACAGCAAAACTGTCAGAAAGAATGAGCTTTGACCTCTGTTGTCTATTTAAAGCTAAATATATATCCTGATAAATCCAGGTTTATCCTGTTATTAAAAGTAAATCAGCCAGGCCTGTTTTGCAGATATAGTAAAAAACAACTTTATTTAAAAAATGTTTTTTAAGGCAAGAGCTCTGTCTGTGATCAACAGGTGAGTTAAAAGCAGCAGATATGCAGAACTGTGTTTAAATGGTCCACTTCACATAAAAAGGCCACAGGACAGTGTGGGCTGCTGGGATTTCTTTGAATAACCTGTGGCGGTGGTCAGACTCTTTGAGTCATGACCACATGATCAAAAACACCACAAATCTGTTAGAACGGATCTGTGAGTCAAACAGAAAATACCTCCAACCAAGAGGCCTTTACTGACGGAAAATGTCACTGCATTAAACGGTTAAAGATTTTTTTTGTTTGCAGCTCGGTGTATTTCAGTTCCATCCAGCAGACCATAACACATTACTTTCCTCTAGTACAAACACAAACATAAACACACATCAGCGCATCGCTGCAATTACTCAACTTTGATTCAATGACAATTTTCCACATGACAAAGCAGAAACTGCACTGTCAGTAATCACTACGTGTCCCCAAAAGCATCGTTACAGTAGGGTAATCTGTGACTTTAGGGAAAATCTAAATTTGTCACAGGGCTTATTGGACTCACACTGAGTTAACAGTTGCTGTTTGAGTGTGAAAGATTGTACCAAACACTCTCATTTATATTATTTCTTTCAGTTTACAATATTTATTTCACTGATTCAGTGTGAAGCTTTTCCTGCCAACAATTGCAGGTATGGAATTCTTTAGGGATATAAAAATATTTTATTTAGTTGTTTACATTAAAAGAAAAAACACAGAACTGAAGATACTTTTAAGATGCATTGTCATTCCTGCACTAATCACTGTTTATAGCTATTGATCGCTAAGGAAAGATATTAACAGTGTAGATGGATGTTATCATAACAAATTAAATATTTACACACAGGCTCCAGATCAATTTTTAAACAGAACAGAAATGTGCGCAGACCTGGCCTGACACCTGTTGCCCCCTGCAGGCCAAAATGGACAGGTTAAAATCAAAATCTTGACTGTTTTACCTGTGTGTTCAGTGGTGGAGTAGGACAGGTAGAATCCATGCCCAGTGTGATGTGTCCCACTCATGAACTGGACAGTAACCTGGTTACCAGTGGAATTGATCAGCTCCTCAACCTTCAGATTCAAACCACAGTATTTCACTGTTGAAAAAGATAAGGCAAAACAAAAAGGAAGAGTTGAGTTATGCATGGCTGTATAACAAAAAATATTATATAGCAGAGTTCTGTGCTGTATAATAACACTGGATTATCATTGTGCACAGATCGATGAACCCAATTTGTCTATACATCATGACATTTGACTGCAGAAAAAGCTGTAAAATTTCACAGAAGAAGTTGACATGTCATGCTGAAAAATTACTTGGTGCAGCAGCCCACAGAGCAACATGCTACAGCTAACAATGTGGCATACGAATGCTAATTCAAATACTCTGCAACAGGTACATACCCACACCAACTCTTCTCTAGCTTGGGCAACATTAACCAACTCTGTCTGCTAACTGAGTGGTTGATCTCAGCATGAACATAAAACTAGTTTTTCGAAACATCAGTGTTTAAACTAGTTGCTGCTTTAGCCCGCAGCAGACTGCTTACGTAGCATGACTCGACTTGAAACAGCTGCGGAAATGCTGAAGTCTGGGGAAAAAACACTGCTGTCACTGTCAGCCTCCTCAAAATGGGAATGTCCGTCAGGGTGACATTGTTTTAGGTGGATTATGGTTTGTCATTCTAACCAGCTCCTTTACTGTTTTGAATTATTATTAATAATTCAGGCATCAGATTATCCAAAAGGTACAATAATATGCTTACTGTGCTTCTTACTAAGGCAAACCAAGGCAGTCCTTCACAGCACCAACTAACCCTGGTTTCCAGACCAGATGCAACCTCTACAGCAGTGATCAAGCACTTAGCTTTTTGTCATTTTGGCCATTTAGTAAAGCTTTGTGTGACTGCTGAATGCCTCTCCACATCTCATAACAAAACAAATAGCTCCATTAGCTGCCGGCTCCTTTGATTCAGGACTGCTCCCAACATTTCCGATTGCATTTTTACCTCATTTAAAATAACAAGCACTCTCTAAAAATTTACATATTAAGATTTACCATCCTGAAAAATATTTTGGATTGAATGTCATATCCCAATCTGTAAAAAATACCATATATTGTACATCTTTAGACTTTAAATAACTAGTAGATAATAGGTCAGGGAAGTCAATGAAGTGTCTGATGGTTCTGAATTGTACAGACAAGGTGTTTGGGTTTAAAGTCCAAAGTATTTCTCAAAATCATCAATTAACAAGTGAAAAGGTCTAAACATTCACAGAGTGAAACATCGTTAGACTTTAACTTTATTTTTAAATACTGTCCAGAACCTCACCGATTTCACTCCTCTCAGGTCCAATGCCGTTGTAGAGGCGGAGGTAGTTGACCTGGCAGTTCCTGTTTTCTATGTCCAGCTCAGCAAAGCGAAAGTGAATCCTGTTGCCACGCGGCACGCTGATCTCCCACTCACACACCGAGTTGTTGGGGTATGTCCTCGGGTAACCCAGAGAGGACAGAGTCCCACTGGTAGGGCCAAGCAAACTGGGCCCACAGCCATCACCTGCAGGGAAAACCACACAAACAGTTTCAGAAAAGGGAGGTGAAGACAGCAATGGTAAATGAAAATTAGTTGTGTTTAAAGATATAGGACTTTTTGTGTTAGTTGTGTTTAAAGATATAGGACTTTTTTGACTTCCTCTTCTTTGATTAAGTTAACTTACTTATTTGATGGTACTGAATACTTCTTCTTCGTAAAGGTCACACCTTGCATATACATTATTCATATCCAAGTCAGTATTAGTATAATAGAGGGTGCGTTAAGATGCTTAAAGAATTAAATGGCAAACTGAATTCAATTTCATAAGTCTACCAAGAAGCTTCCATTATTCATTGTGTTATAAATATATGGCTATTTTAGGTCAGGGATGTAAAACTTCTCATTTTCCCATTTCATAGCTATTTCCGTCTGATGATGTCATCATAGGAAAAAGACCAATCTCTAATATGATTCATAATGTTAGTAAATGGCAGCATTACAACCTGTTGGCTGTGATCACTGGCTTTAAACATTTTTAAGTGATATGATCCCATTTAGAGGAAAATAGCAGATGTAATCATGACACCCATGTCCAGTTGAAGCTGACTGCTGACAAAAATGTTGCCGTGAACCAAGCCCATAATGGACATTTACCTGTTGTATGCATTTGCATGTAGCAACTGTACCTGCGCTTAGCATGTACTGTCCACTAAATAGGAGCACCGTGGTCTGTTGAAGTTATGAATCAAGTTTCTGGGACTGAAAATCATCACTGTCATTTTTTAAATTGTTACTTCCCGGTTTGTGTCTGTGTATGTTAAGAGATCCCCTGTGTTAACAGTCACCAGTCATGTTCCATGGTGTTAAGTGGATGTTCTGTTGGGTTGCAGCAGTTATGTAAGAGCCTCTCTGTGGACACTGTCCAGATGAACAGGACAAAAACAAAACTGACTCCCCTAACTCTGACTCACACACACACAAATGTTCCCTCAACAACTGACTGGTGTTTTAGCTGGAGTTTTCGGCACATACTCAATTTACTCAATAAAACGCTGAAATATGTAACAACAAAACACACTGTAGTGACGTGATATACAATCAAGCTGATGCCAAACTGTGTCCACGTGTTTACAGACTGGCCTCCTACCCCCAAACTATGACCACCTGAGGCTGACTATCGTCTGAAATAAGCATATAAAATGAAATGTTTTTGGACATTTTGATGTTTTACATCATGGAAAAAGGTTAGCCAACAACCAAAGAATGTATAGTAAGTAATTTCGGTACTGTACTGGTTATGGTAAACCTCGAAACCGAGCCACCTGGAAGGACAACAAGGCCAGAGGCTCACAAAATGTGCTGTTGTCTCGCCCAATACAAAACACCGTTAGAAAATTTAATGTAACATCAACACACTTATTAGAGTAAAGTAAATTAGGTTATATATTGTCAGTTTATGCCAATGTAAGAGTACTTGCAAATTCTGCTAGTGAATTATTTAAATTCCGGCAGTTAACGTTTCACAATCTCTTCTTTTTTCCAGGACCGGTCTGTCTGGTTTAACTGCAGGGGGGAGAAAAGCCTTGTAAACCAGGCGCGACTCCCACGTACACACACACGACCATGTAAGGTAGGCTTATCGGTCTAACACTGTTACCATACACGTTTATTACAACCAGAAAAGGTGTTGTTAAAGCGTTAACTCTAAGCCAGCATGGCCGTGGCTTGTGCTCACACTGTGGGCTCGGCTGTACCAGGGTTGCCAGTTAGGCGTTGCGGGGGAAAACCAACCTTTCTGCGCTCGACAGTTTTCTGCGGTGAGAACGATGAGAATCGACAGGACGAGAAGAACCTCGGCCCCTGTCGTTTCCCTTCCCACCACCATTACCGCTCTGCCCATAGCAGCCTGCAGTCTGAATGCATACTGCTTGCTGCTGCTGACCCCGGCTGCACCGCTTCAACCTGTGCCGGGAATGAGGGGGAAAAAATCTGAAAAGAGCGATAAAAGTTCCCTGGTCCTCGATAGAAAGACGGTTCTTCTTCCTCAGGTTGTCCCTTTTCACTTCCCCGTTCACAATCCAGTGGTTAGCGACACTCTCACTATGAAGGGAACTGCTACACACACATAACACACACACATAACACACACACATCCAATCTGTGGAGCCACTTCCTCCCCATTGGCTCCTCCTCTACCCCTCCCCCTTCTCTCCCTCCTCCCCCCTTCCCCCATTTCTCTTCATTCTGTACTGGATCTAAATGACCCGGGTCTGTCGTGTCCTGAGTCCAGTCCTAATGCTGTGGACACTAGTAATCAGATTACTGGTCTCAACCAGTATTTAACATCAGTAATTTGCTGGTTTAGGAGCAAAACTTTTCTATGGGCTGAATGTTGGACGAGTCTTCTTACAGCGATTGATGCCCAGTGGTAACTGATGGTTCTTCTGTATGAAGTTTGAATGTTGTTCCCATGTGCATCCGGGATTTTCCAGGTACTTCCATTTTTCTCTCAAAGTCAAAAAATGCCACATCATATAATTGGATACTATTGAAAGTAATGCTGTCTTCATGTTGAGCTATGGGAGGCACTGGTGGACTGTCCATGGTGTACAGTGACCCCAATGACCCTGAAAAAGATTAAGGAGGAGGTGTAAAAACACAATGAAGATTATCAACCAATAAAAAATACCACATTTTCTTAATAAGCTATGAACTAGGGACTGTTGGTTTCTCAAACTGTTCTTCCAGAAAGGCTATGGTCTCAGTACTCAGGCAGGTTCATGTAGCACACACTGTTGGTAGGGTGTAGTCTGATTTGTAAGATCTTAAATTATTTGTATATTTAGTGACTTGAGATATTTCTGTGAGTGCTTTTTACAAGTAATGTCTAATTTTCTAGCATTTTTTCAACAAAGAGATTGTTGTGGCTGAGTTACTACATTTAGTTGTGTGACTTGTTTTATCTTTTTTTCGCACTATATGTTTTTCTCATACGTATGGTGGTTACATTTAGAGAATAATAGACAATACATTTATAGGGGGAGGGCAGATAGGAGTGAACACAACGTGACTTTGGAACACACAGTGTCACAACATCACTGACATCAGAATGTAACTATTGTCTGTGTTTCTCCAAACCTGAGTGCGGTTTACAACTGTTAGAGACGGGACATTGCCACATGCCACATTGACGGACAAACAAAGAAAGTTTGGATATGTTTTAATGCCATAGAATCACTGTTCTATGCCATGACTATTATCAAACCTATAAAAGCTGCATGCAGCTTATAACTGTTTGGTAAACACAGTGAGTGACAATGTTTATGTAGCCACTAATGTAACTGACCTATGTTAAAATAAGTTATGCGACTCACTAAGCTCTAATACCATTGAGACCCTGTTTACATGGTCGCCAAGCATGTTGTGATATGAGTCAGGGACTTTCACTGGGCGTTCCAGTCACATATGACATGATGTGACTAATATCAAAATATTTCACATCTTAACTAATTATACTAATAATGTGTACGAATACAACCCTGAACACTGATTTTCAAAGAATGCTCCAGGACTCGTTTTCAATGACATAGTGTACAAGTTCCTGGAACTCTGTCCAGACATGTCTCTCGCATGACAAGTTCTGCCAGTGCTGTTTTCAACTGAGTGAGATAAGCTGATATAAACAGAGGAAGGTAACGTCTACCTGCTCCCATTTACACACACATATATATAAATATATATGTAAATATGTTATTTGTATGTTACATATATATTTTTATAGGTGTATATATATATATGCATATACTGTATATATATACATATATTCACCTTACTGTAATGAATCCTGATAAATTAATCTAAAACTCCCCTGTCTCATTTAAATCTCATTAAAAACTGATATCTATCGACTGCACTCGTATTTACAGTGTTCTATATTCTTATTATTCTGTTGCAAACAGCTGCTGCTGCTAGTGTGGAACACAGTGGATAGAAAGTGCCATCCTACAGTAATAAACACAATCCCATGGTCTTTTGGCGAGAGTAGAATTTCACAGTATTTTATCATAGTCTATTGCTGCTGCGTCAAAAATGCTCTGTCATGTGAGGAGGGAGTTTTTTGCAGCAACACCACCCAGCTCTTTAAACCAGTGGTGTTGGGGTGTGTTGCCTGTTTATGTTCAAACAAGTGTGAAATAAAACACTATTTGTAAAGGTAAGGATACATTAGTAGTCATGACATGATGGATTTGCATATATGTGGTGATACCGAGGTTTCAGAGGCCATTAGATAAAAATTCTAAATGCTGCATTAAGACAATATCATTTCCCAGAGATTCATTTGATTTTTGGACAGGAAAATACCAGGCCTTGTTTTGCATCAACTACAAAGGTGTGACTGTGTGCAGTCCAGATCTGTGAAATGCTCTGAAAATGTTTAGTTAAATGATTTTCAAACTTTTTACAAAGTGTGCCACCCCTGAAAATATTCGTCTGTCCAAGTACCACCAGTATGACCCACATTACAATATCAGCTCAGCCCAGAAGAGGAGCAAATAAAAATATGTCAACTGTTGTATACAAAAAAAAAAAAAAAAAAAAAAAAAAACACCCCCCATTCTAATCAGATTCATCTTTAGCCCCTAGAGGGAGCACACGTAACACTAGTGGTACACACGGCAAACTTAAATTACCACTGGTCTAGTAAACCATAAACAGGAAAATCCGACAATTCCAATTAACAGGAATGGGCATAAATTCAGATTGCAAAGGCTTGAAAAGTTATTCTCAGTTGCCAAACAATTAAAAAGTGTAATTAATAGAAAGGGGAAGTGGCCCAGTGTTAAACCTGACTTGGTTTGATTTTTTCAGTAGACATTATAACCAAAATATTAATTTCTGAATGAGTTAATGTTAAACAAATTTAATTAAATCTCTGACATTATTTGTGTGGGTCCGTCTCCATCATTAATTAAAGGCTCAAGTCATTTACTGATATGCAAATCTCAGCATGTTATGCATTTAACAAACTTTTATTCTTTGTTCTCACTGTCACTTCGACTCTGCTTTAAAAGGTGCATAACAAAACCAAAAGACTTCAGTTGGGTTGTGTAAAAGCTTTTAAAGAAACATCAAACCGTTACAGTGGTCAGTTATATACTGTACGTCTCCCCCTGTGATGTGGTGCATTAACAGTGGAGCTTTAAAACACCACAGCCAGCCTGTGTTGATGGACATTTAATGGGAGTGATCTAATAAAGCAATAGTTATTAGACTATTAATGTCTCGTCCTTTCGGTTACAAGCGTCCGTCTGTCTGCTGCTGGACAAAATAAATTGTGTGTTGTTTAGGTGAGACTGTACAGACCTGCTGTACATTATTTCTGTCTGATAAAAAGAGTCTTGATGGCAAATGTGGAACTCCAACCCAGACCGTAACTGCAACTCTCACTGCAGCCCTGCACTGAGGCCCAGACAAATCCAGTTCTTATTGTTCTACAATAATACACCCAAAATTGGCAAGGACTTTTGATGTAATGAATCTGCCTTCAGTATCCCATAGCAGCACTCAGCAACAAACAAAGTTTTCACCCTGTGAGTAATGTGTCCAATGATTCAGAGGTTTTTGAGACTGCGTTTCTTCCTATCTGTGTGGTGTGCAGGCTGCAGACAGATGTCCGTGAGGGCGTAAGGAAAGTGTAATGTTTGGAGGAGCTGCCAGAGAGTCAGTGGTGATGAAGCTGATCACTCTCTAAGTCTCTCCCCCACCCAGGCCTCTCTGGACTCCCTGTTTTGTTTCTCTTCCTCTATTCCGTGATACATTTGTACAAGGGAAGAACAGACGTAAAGGTGGAGGCTGCACAGTTAGAGGGCCTGAGATTTTCACTGGGAGTAGATTGGAGGTGGTGTTAGTGAGTCAACGTTGTGAGGGTGTGAGGATGTAGTTACTGGAGCTGCAAAACAAGAGGAAACATAGAAGATCAGTGGAGACAGAGTAGATGACGAAAGAGATGGAGACAGGTGACCTGCTGTGATGACTCCTGCAGGGAGCTGCCGGAAGATGAACAACCATTAGGGCCGACACTTTATCAAAACCAATACAATGAGGACACCTGCTGGACAAATGCGTTGTGTTTCGGTTAGACAAACTGGCCAAGACCACGTTCATACTCCAGATATCAGACTGCGACACTCAGTGGACACAAGGCGTAATAGCAACTTGGTAGTTGTTCATCTGGCTGTTAATGAGGGATGAGTCACGACAGCCAGGCCTGTACCTGCAGATTCAGGTGTGAATAACAGTCGAGTCAGTGGAGGAACACGTGAAACACCGTCTGTTCTGTCTGTCTGTCTGTCCTGGAACATATGTCTGTAATTTTCTGATGTTTCCCAGTTAAAGGGCTGTTATCTCGAACTAATATCTCATTTTTTCTCTGTGTACTTGAAAACTTTGCATTTTAACCAAATATGGTAATTATTGCTTATTAAGTATACTTTCCTTACAAATCCCCAATACATTTAGCTACTGGTATTTAAACACCTCTGATGACATTTCCACAGGTAGTTACAGATATTTTAGGGCCATCTGATTTCTGGGGAATACTTTTTCCCTTTTTTTGCCCTTACTTTAGGATCAGACCTTTTTCAGTCTCATGACACCTGAGGAGTCTTAAGACCATATATTTTCTCTTTAACCTCTTCTTTTTAACGATAATTTTACCTCTACAATCAGACATCAGAATAAATCAACCTGAAAAGTCTTAAAGGCCAGAAGTCTGCTTTGTGAATCTGTTCATTTATCATCAACTGCAGAGACTGTAATTATGGAGGTGGGTTAAACAAAGAGCTAAATGGAAACTTTAAAACACTGTCTGTGTGTGAAGGGTTGTTTGTCTGTTATTATGCATGGATTGGCTTCAGTGAACTGATGAATGAACTATTAAAATACGTAGTCATGAGGGGTTAATGAAAATCATCGTAAAGTGTAATTTTCTTTCAAATCTCTAAAGTAAAGTTGATTTTTTTTTTAGAAAACTAATGATCTGTCACTAACTTAAACTCCATAATTAAAGTATCTGTGAGGGGAAATGACCTTCTAGTACACTGTTGTACTCACACAGTCAGACACAAAGAGAAAACCAGCAATCAGTGTCACAGCAGTCAGTAA